TTTTGGTAATGCGCGACTTACACAAGAATTATGTAGTTTTAGCCATATATATAGCGATAGCCCAGAGTACAGTCCTGTAGGTTGGCCTCCTTCCGCTGTTCATTCGGTTCCCACAGTCCTGAAAAGTCGCATAGACCGAGGATTCGACACCCGCCTACAAATTTATGGCGCTGAATGCCTCTTAAATCGGCCAATACATTAGTGGTTGTGCGAGTTGGCATTGGTGCGAGTTAGCATTGGTGCAAGTTGGTCTGGTGCGAGTTGGTATGGTGCGAGTTGGTATGGTGCGAGTTGGTTTTGGTGCGAGTTGACCTGTGACCGTTCTTGATTACTTTGTCAGTCACAATCATAATTCATATGAGGTTATCATCTGATATCACTTATTCATAGAGTGGTTGATACTCATGACATTATGGCTGTATTATACTACTACACCAACTATGTCACTTGTCCCAACTAGCCTTTCAAATACGTGATAATCTTTGTTAAGTGTGTTAAAACGACATAAATTTGATTTAATATTTCACCAAATTATGCTTTTGAATACATTACAGGATGTAGGTTGCTTGGTTGGCAAACATTTGCAGTTACAGCCATTGATTCAAAATCAGAAAAATAATGGAAGGGCTATTTTTTCCAAAATAAAAATTCAGTTATTATATTTTTATTGTCATAGCACCATTGAATTATTGTTATCCACTCTGAAATTCTCATATTGCAGTCATAAAAATGGTACCATCGCACTATTTTGTTTTTTCTATGTACTGTTCAAGTGCACACAGACTGATGACATTATCGTGCATATTGCCACATTTCATGTTAAATATCAGCTAGGGATATTTTACACTGAACATCACTGCTGTGAATAATACACTCAGTGGTCATGTGATAATTGCTATATATTACATCAAATATTATCTTGTCAATGCTGTTATATTTATGTAGTTGAGCATTGGATAATATTAATAGAATTTTGAAGTTTTCAATCATGTTACATCACATGCAATCCAATGTGAGTGTAATGATTTGAGGTTATGAAGTTTGATTTAGTCATTTACATAAGCATATTGATACATTTGTCATAGAACTTCTTGTGAGTATTTAGGCTCAGTTCCAGGCCTAGCAGTTGAGCAATAAACACCTTGGCTACACGTGCTCCTCTCCAGTGCGTTATTCTCCTCTCGGATTTGGTGACCAATACTCACTTGGTTCACTCTACCTTGAGAAGTCTGTTCTCAGTTTACAGTGAGATGTTCCTCATGTTATGACTATGGGAAATATCAAGCTTAGCTGTCATCGATGTTCAAAATGTTCATAAACTTCTCTATAGGCTGTCAGACTGTGATGTCATGTTCAAAATGTTGGTAAAACTTCTCTATAGGCCGTCTCACTGTGATGTCATGTTCAAAATGTTCGTAAACTTCTCTATAGGCTGTCTCACTGTGATGTCATATTCAAAATGTTGGTAAAACTTCTCTATAGGCTGTCTCACTGTGATGTCATGTTCAAAATGTTGGTAAAACTTCTCTATAGGCTGTCTCACTGTGATGTCATGTTCAAAATGTTGGTAAAACTTCTCTATAGGCTGTCTCACTGTGATGTCATGTTCAAAATGTTGGTAAAACTTCTCTATAGGCTGTCTCACTGTGATGTCATGTTCAAAATGTTGGTAAAACTTCTCTATAGGCTGTCTCACTGTGATGTCATGTTCAAAATGTTGGTAAAACTTCTCTATAGGCTGTCTCACTGTGATGTCATGTTTACATTTATGCCAACCAGTGTATGACTGTCTGATAACAAATTTCGCTTACTGATCAGCTCTAGAGGTGTTGTGACAATGTTGCCTGTGAGTTGTTTTTATTAATAGAAACACTTAGGTAACACTCTTATTTTATCTTCAGGTGCAAATGAGCGTGTTTTGCCAACCATTCACTGTGCACGCACATAGAACATATAAACCAGTGCGATGGCCTTTTACTGGCCTTTCTAAACACTTAACATTTACAATCAAATTTCAGAAAATTCAAATGATATCACCAACTAGCTCTTTAATTAGCACATGTTTATATGTAAATGACTGGTCAAAATAAGACCTATTTTCATAATCCAGCAAACAATAATTTTTGATAGTATATTTTCAATATTTTCATGAACTTACAATTTAAGATTTTTTAAATAAGAATCTAATGTGAATAAGATTTGAGAAAAAAACATTTAAGGAATACATTTCTTTACATCAAATTTAATGCACAATAAAATCACTGCAGTCTAGAGTGATCTCCCTAACATCATGTTATGTTGGTGGACGGTTGATTGATTCCAAATCATGTTTGTCCTTAGTCAATTCCTTTCACAGGTTGATTCATCCCACAAGTTTATTGATCCCACAATTAAAATTCATCCCAAAGTTGATTTTTCCACGCTGCACAATATTGTAAGGTTGACTAAAAGCAATGAGACGAAAGTGTGTTGGGACAAATATGTTTGGGACGAATGTGATTTGAGACAAATTGTCTCTGAATCCTTATGGTGTACATTTGTGCATGCAGTCTATTTTGTTTCTCATGGTTCCCCTCCTTAATTCTATCCCATTTAAATAGTAGAAATAATAGTCCTTGCCAAAGGCAAAACAAAAATTGATTTGTTTGACTTTCTGGTTGGTGTATGCATTGGATCAAAAAGAGTTGCTCATGCTTTTTCTGGTTTTTACCAAACTGCTTTAAAAGCTAAACCTAAACCTATAAATTGTTTATAAATTGATATGACAATGTGTGTTTAATTTAAGTTAGCCGTAATAAATTGTAATCAGGACGAATGCAATTAAAACAAAATTGTTTTGTATAGAAAATAATAATTAAATAAATGGTTGGCCAAAAATGACTTGTAATTTTACTAATTTTAAAGATTTTGTAACTGATTTTATGCATTTTTATGTTTGTATGATGATACATATGAATATCATCACCAGTGTGCCCTCTAAGCCTATTTCATGATAAATGTCTGAAATTATCATTCTACGCATTCAGT